GTGCTTGAGGCAAGATGGGACCCTGCCAGGAAGCTTCGTAAGCAAGCCATCTGTCTACAGGTGACAAGCCTGTCACCCCAGGCCTGTGCGTCTTTACTCTTCTGCACCCCTGGGCAGTAGCAGAGGTACCGAGCCCTGGGCAGGTCCCAGACGGACTTCATCACGCCGCCAGCTTGCTCCACTGCGCTGTGGCTGGGCTGGGGAGATGTGGAAATGGCAGCCCAGCCCTGGTGACTGGATTTAGGCGGGAGTTCTCATTACTGGAATTAGCTTCAAGCTCTAGACAAATCACCACAAAACCCCCTGAGGCGGCAGCACGCTGCTGGATTTAGCCTTGATGGGCGGTAGGTGAGCTTCAAATAGCTCTCGCCACGTGACACATCAGGCCCCAGGGAGGAAGTGGGCCGGGAGAGGGGGCACATGCAGTCCCTGGGGGCCAGCGTTGGGCTCCTGGCTTTGGAGTGGGACCAGCTTGCAGAGTTCCTGTCCATCTGGTATTTGTTAAGGGCCCTCTTGGTGTCAGGACCCCTGCCAGACGCCGGAGTGCAGAGGGGACAGGCCCAGCCCTGCCCCCCAGAACAAACTGCTGTCCCTGCCCTTCGCTGCTGTCCTCCCCAGCCTGGTCTGGGAAGTCCCCATCCCACGCCCACGGCCCCAGGCACTGCTGAGCTCTCCCAGGGCCAGGCCACTGGCTGCGCTGCGCACTGACGGCTCCCGTGACAGTTGTGGCAGAGAGCACAATCCTGCCCTGGGGTCTGAGGCTTGCACAGTTTGCCCAAGCAGCCTGGAGTGCCAGCTCTCATCCGTGAGACGCTTCCCTCCTTCAAGGCCCGGTTTAAACGGCAAGAAACTGCCTCGGACCTCCCTAAATCCTCCCAACAGTCCACGGAGTAGGTACAGTTGCTAATGCCATTTTACAGATGAAAAAACAGGCCTGGAGCTTGCCCAAGGGCACACAACCCTGTATGGGAGGAGGTCAGTGTGGGCTGGGTTCTGGGCCATGTGCTCATAACCAGCGGTTGGCGTGTACGTGGCCTCCTACAGACCAAAGGCTCAGTCTGATTCCTGTGCATGTCCAGCTCTGGAGCCCTCACTCCTGTGTCCCTAGGCCAAGGACTGGACAGCAGTGTCATCAGGCCCAGGGGAGAAGGAATTCCCACGTGTGGCTCGGGTGTGTCCTAAGCCCCGGTCCTGAGTGCAGGCTCCCGGTTCTTCTGATGAGGCCTCGAGGTCCATCCCTGACCCAGCCCGAGCCCACTCCTGGTCTGATTTGCTGAGAAAGAAAGGCTCAGGGTCCCTTGGGAGGCAGGTTGTGCGTGGCCGGCATTTCCACGCAGACCCCCGCTTGCCCTCAGAGCCCCCGCACAGCCGGCCTCGCTGCCGAGGGCGCCCTCAGCCTACAGGCCAGCAGCGGCCCAGGCTCCCTCCTCTTCTAGGCGCCAGGTGAGAACTGCCTAGCTGGGGACCAGCGGGAGGGGCTTAATTTAGACTTGGGAAGAAGTGTCCCGTAGCCAGGGCTGCTTTGTACCCATCTAGGGAAGCCTGAAAGGAGATCCCAGAGGGCACTGCCTGGGCCTCAGGCCCTCAGGCCAAACCTTTCTCCATGTAGCCTGTCTCTAAGGCCCAGCCTAGGGGATCTCCTGGTTGAGGAACTGCCCAGCCCCGTCCATCTGGGGAAGGCGGCATCTGGAGAGGCCAAGGTCTTTGGGCCAGACTGGGAAGCCCTGCTTCCTGTCCAGTCTGGCCTGTTGTGAGAATCTCCCTCTTTGGGGCGTTTGCACAGTCTGGCTCCTTCGTGAACCCCAGTCATCATTCACTCAGGGGAGCCAGTGGTTAAAAGCGTGGGTCCAGGGCTTCCCTGGTGGCGCAGTGGTTAAGAATCCGCCTGCCAATGCAGGGGACACGGGTTCAAGCCCTGGTCCGGGAAGATCCCACATGCTGCGGAGCATCTAAGCCCATGCGCCACAACTACTGAGCCCACACGCCACAAATACTGAGGCCCGCGCGCCTAGAGCCCGTGCTCCACCACAAGAGAAGCCACCGCAATGAGAAGCCTGTGCACTGCAATGAAGAGTATCCCCCGCTCGCCTCAACTAGAGAAGTCCTGCGCGTAGCAACAAAGACCCAACGCAGCCAAAAAAAAAAAAAAAGAGCGTGGGTCCAGGGTCCAGACTGTCTAGGTCAAGACCCAGCTTTTTGCTTACCAGTGCTGGCAACCTGTTTACCTCTCTGTGCCTCAGTTTTCCCATCTATAAAGTAGGGGGAATAACAGTACCTACCTGATAGTCTCATTGTGAGGATAAGATGTTATCCTAAATATAAAGCACTCCTGCCCCAGGCTAAGTCCTTTGTTAGCCCTCAATGGGAAGTGGGGGTGTGTGTGTGATTCTGGGGGCTCTGGTATTCATCTAATACCTGGGTGATGGATAACAAGATATCTATAATGTTAGCTAAAATTTTATGTTTAGTTAAACTTCATTTTTCTGCAGTTTTCTATAATTTCACAATTTGAAAGTTCTAAAATTTTTAAGTTGGTATCTCCCCCGCTAAAACAAACTTATTTATTAATTACCTCCAGTTTTGTTCATTTTTTAAAATTAAGCATTTGGTCACTCACTTGTTTCATCCATGCATTCAAGTAAATCTATCTCATCCCAACAAAAGGCTATGAGCCTGCTTACGGAGGTCCTTACAAGGTAAACGTGAGTTCTTAGCACTTCATGGTTTGTACACCTGCGCTCTGCCTGGGTGCGGTAAGGAGCAAGGCGACGTTTGGGGAGACCATAGGAGGGAAGTGGAGAGGTAGCAGCTGACGGCTTGGGCCGCGGAGTTGCGCCTGGTGTCTGCAGGACAGAGCAGCCTGGCTGGGCAATTATGCAAGAGTGGAAAGACCGCGGAGAAGAAGGGAAGGAAGTGCCAGGGCCACGACCAGACCCGGCGCCGGGGGTGGGGTGGGGTGGGGTGGGGTGGGGTGGGGTGGGGGGTGGGTACCACTGCAGCCAGCCCCACCAGCCACTTCCTCTACCCTTCCCAGGTGAGCCAGTGCTGCAAGTCTGACCTCTGTGTGGGGACCACAAGGCAGCACCACATGGGACAGGGAAGACCAGAGACAAGCTGAGCACCCCTCAGGGAGGGGGCATTTAGTGAGTAATGAAAGGACAGCCACTCGGCCGTGAGCCAAGGGCCTTGTGCTGCAGGGGCCACTGATGTGGAGTTAAGTGAGGACTGCCATCCATCACGTGATCCCACTCAATGTTCTTTGCTTCCAGCTTTCTTTTGAGGTACAACACACCCACAAAAAAGGGCCGTGCATGAAACTGACGTGCCGGGGGCTGGGTTAATTTTCAGAAAGTGAGTGCACTTGTGGAGGTGGCATCCTTACCAACAGAGCAAGTCACCGGCCGCCTCTTACGCGCCTCCACTCACTGTTGCCCCCACCCCCCACCCCCACCCCCCCGCGCTGGAGGCCACCCTGGCTTCCAACCCCACTGACTGGCATGCAGTTTTTGAGCTTGGTGTCAATGGCATGCTGCAGAAGGTGTGCTTTGTGTCTGCCTTCTCTACCCCCGCATTGTGTCTGGAAGGTTCACCCGTGTTGTGTCCGGTAGTTCCCGCCCATTGCCGAGTAGTGCATCATCCTGTGCAGGAAGATCCTAGATGTGTAAATGGAAATGATCAGAGGAAGGACTTGCCAGGCTGGCCACACCCAGGGCTGGTGACCTCAGGGTGATCGGGGAGCAGCAGTGACCAGAGGGGACCTGCCAAGCAGACCTTTCAGAGCAGAGGAGATGGACGCCGGGCTTCCTAGATAAAATCCCCTGCCAGAGAGCAACCCTCACCCCTGGCGGTCCAGGGGGACCTGTGGCTCTCAGAGTGTTCCCAGTGCTGATGGGCTTTGCCATCATCTCTCCATCTTGGGATCTGGGGATCTGGGCCACAAACTGGCCCTGCCCACCTGAGCCTGCAGCTGAACTGCCTGGGTCTAAGGCCACTTGCTGCGTGACCTTGAACCAGCTCTATAACCTCTGAGCCCCCCAGGCTCCCCATCTACCTGGCCAAGCACCCCAGGCTTTAGTGAGAGAGGCCCCAGCCTCTCCCCCAGCAAGCTGCTGTCCTCCTCACCCCTCCATCCCAAATCCCCTTCTCCCCCTTCTCAGCAGAGCTGGGAGTCCCCTTTCACTCAGGAGGAAACCACATCTGCTCTGAGCGGCCATTCTTTGATCAGGATTTGAACGCGGTTCTCACTCAGTCTGCCCCGCTGCCCGTGCCCTCAGCCACAGTCACCCGGGATGTACACCTGAGGCTTGCACACGCTCCCCTGGAGGATTCATTCCATCAATCACTTCGTGAGTGATGCAGCTACTATCCGAATACTTACAGAGGGCCCACTGTGTGCCAGGCACCAGCTCTAGGGGTTGGGGCCAGAGCCCTTGTCAAAACAGGCCAAACCCTTCTCTCATGGGGCTCACATTCTGGTAGGGAAAGACACTGTAAAAATAAAAATGTGATGAGTGATCTGGAAAAAAAAAAAAAAAAAAAGCAGGAAAGAGGGGTGGGGTCCGCATGAAGTTTTGCTATTTTATGTGAAGTTTATATATATCAAGGAAGGCCTCTCAGAGGAGGTGCCCTTTGAGCAGAAACCTGTAGAAGATGAGGGTGGGAGTTACAAGTGTGTGGGAGACGGGCCAGGTGGAACGGCTTGTGCAAAAGCCCTGAGATGAGAGCACCTGGAACAGAGGGGCCAGCGTGGCTGGCTCAGAGGAGCCAGGAGGAGAGAGCTGGGAGTCAGGCAACCCTCCTGCGGGGCCCTGTGGGCCACGGAGGGGACAATGACGGGCGTGTCCCCGCACAACTGCGTGCGTGAGGCCACCCATGTCCGCACCACGGGAGCCCGAGGAAGCCCAGAAACTGAAAGAAGAAGCAAAGGCCTATCTGCACGCTCCCTGCCCCCTCCTAACCGCGGCTCCGCCGCGACAGAGGCGACTTCCTTTTTCCAGCCTATTTAAGTCTCAGCCCGCAGCGCCCCGGAGAAGAGGGGGCCGCACGGAACCCAGCCATGGGGGACCCCTTCATTCGCCACATCGCCCTCCTGGGCTTCGAGAAGCGCTACGCCCCCAGCCAGCACTACGTGAGTACCGGCCTGAGGCGCCCTGCGCGTGGGGACAGGACTGGCGGGGCGCAGGTGCCAGTCCCCGCGCAGCCCCGGGACTCCCGGCCCGAGACGCGGGCGGCCGAGGGGTGAGGGGGCGGGGCCGCGGCCAAGGCTCCCCGGCTCTGGGCCTCAGGCCGCCCGCCGGGGCCGCAGTCAATGTGCGCCCTTCAAAAGGTGCGCGCCGCCACCCGGGCCCTCGGTGCGAGGACAGCGGCTTGGCCCCCGGCCCCCGCCCGCCCGTCCCACGCCCTGCTTCCCGCCCCAGCCCAGCGTCCCCTCTCCGCGCCCGGCAAGTGTCCCCGCGGCCCCTCTGGGAAGGGTCCCCGGGAGAGCGCCCTGGTGGCGATCAGTTACATTAGAGTCGTGACCCCTCCTGTAGGGTGACACCACCACAGGGACCAGAGGAGTCCCCCCTCCTGCCCTGGGGGAGCTGGAGGAGTGCAGGCCCAGACATGGCCATCCCATCACGGGGTCCCCAAACCCAGAGGAAGGCCAGGGAGGGATCCAATTAGTAAATTGGCACTTGTAGTGTATGTGCCAAGACCCTGCTTTTTTAACTTTTAATTTTGAAATAATTTCAAATTTACAGAAATGTCCCCCAAAATACCAATAACTCCAATATTCCTTCACCCACATTTCCTCTCTCCTTTCACTCTCTGTCTCTCCCCCTCCATCTCTTTGTCCCTCCTGCTTGCTCTCTCTCTGAATATACATTTTCTGAATCATTTGAGAGTTATTTGGAGACACTGTGTTTCTTTACCTCTAAGTATTTATTACAGGTGTGTATTTCTTAAAATCAAGGACGTTCTTTTACATAACCAAAGGTGTCAAAATGAGGAAATTAACACTGATAAAACACTGTTATGCAACCCACAGACTTTGTTCGGATTTTACCAATTGTCCTCTTGTCCCTCCGTAGGAAAATTTTTTCAGGTCAAGCATCCAATCCAAGATCACACAAATTAAAACAAACGAACAAAAACTATCCAGGATCACCTGTTGCATCTGAGTCGTCATGTCTCTTTGGCGTCTTTAAATCCAGATCAGTCTTAATCGGTCTTTGTCCTTCTCAACTTTGACTTTTTGAAGAGATGGGGCCAGTTATTTTGCAGAACACCCCTCGATTCGGGTGTGTCTGATACTTTGTTAGATCTTAGTAATGCAGGAACACCCCAGAAGTATTGATACGTTCTTTTCATTGATCGTATCAGGTGGCAGGTGATTTTGATTTGTTCCTTTATTGGTGATGTTAACTTTGATCACTGAGTCCTGGATGTGTCCTCCAAGTTTCTCTGCTGTAAAGTTACTCTTTTCCCCTTTGTAATTAATAACTAAACTATGGGGAGGTTATGTAAAGCTATGTGAATATCTTGTACCTTATAGTATCTGTATGACTCTTGCCTGAATCACATTACTATAATGATTGCCAAATAATGATTTTTAAACTCTCTTGGTCCTTCTGCATTTATTAGTTAACATTTTCCTGTGTCTTCCCTTCTTCCTTATTTATGTCAGTATGGATCCATGGATTCCTGTTTTATTCAGTGAGTTATAATCCAATACCATCATTACTTATTTTGATGCTCAGAATGTCCCAGATTTGGTGACTGGAGCTCCTTCAGGCTGGCTTCTGTACTTTTTTTTTTTTTTTTAATATATCCTGTCATTCTTTTTTCTTGCGGCGGGGGCAGTGGGGGACAGGGTGCCTGGGTACATTCTTATGGCACAAAGTGGGCCAGCTTAACTTGGACTTTCCCAGCCCTAGTCCTGGACTCAACCATTTCACTAAAGAGCCCTGGTTCTTTTTAGTGGGAGTGATATTAGAACCCAAGATCTGGAAGCTGGGTGTGCTCATTGCCACCAAGGTGTCATGGCTCATGACTGCCTTTCCAGTGGACAGACTGGAGGAAATAGCTATTTCATATCATCCTTGCTTCTCACCACTTTACGCTTGTAGCTCCTTTTTCTCACTGCAGGAACCCTGGCTCCCAACGAGATCAGTATATACACTCTTCTGCTCAATTCTAAAACACACATAAACTTGTTTCAGAATAATTACACCCACGCCACTATTAACAAGAAACCTACTAACCTATTAAGTCAAATTGAAGTTTTCTTTGCAGTTCTTCTGAAAGTGCTGCAACTAAAAGCTATTTGGATTCTTTTCCATTTTCCTTTAATATTTAGGTTATTACCCATTTTATATATAGATAAGTTCATTTGTTTCTGTTTCCAACTTTAAAGTTAAAAAAATCCTTGTTGACTTAATTTTACTTCTAAATTTGTAAAATATTAGCAAGTTCACCCATTTAAAGTGCACTATGGCTTTGGGTATATTTAAAGTTCTTCAACTATCACAACCATCTAATTTTTTAGAACATTTTTATCATCCCCGTTGGTAGCTATTCTTTTTATTCCCCAAGATTTTATTCTGAGAAACTTCAAATATACAGCAAAGTTGAAAAAAATTTCACAGCAAAACAAAACCAAACAAAAAACCCAACCAGGGACCTCCCTGGTGGTGCAGTAGTTAAGAATGTGCCTGCCAACGCAGGGGACACAGGTTCAAGCCCTGGTCCTGGAAGATCCCACATGCTGCAGAGCAACTAAGCCTGTGCACCACAACTAACTGAGCCTGCCCTCTAGAGCCCACAAGCCACAACTACTGAGCCCGTGTACTGCAACTACTGAAGCGTCTAGAGCCCATGCTCCGCAACAAGAGAAGCCACCACAATGAGAAGCCTGTGCACTGCAACGAAGAGTAGCCCCCATGCGCCACAACTAGAGAAAACCTGTGCACAGCAACGAAGACTCAACGCAGCCAAAAATAAGTAATTAATTTAAAAAAAAAAACAAAAAACCAAACCCAACCAGACATATGCTTACTATCTTGATTATACCATTAACATTTCCTATAGTACTTGCTTTATCATGTATGCATCCATCCATCCATCCACCCATCAATCTATCTTATTTTTGGTGCATTTCAAGGCAAATTACAAACATCAGTACACTGTCCTAAACGTTGGGTTGGCCAAAAAGTTCATTCCGGTTTTTCCTTAAGACCTCACAGAAAAACCCGAACGAACTTTTTGGCCAACCCAGTACTTCAGCATGCGTATCACAACTAGAGTTCAGTATTTTTCTGTAGTTTTTTTTCTCTTTTGATGGAAAATTTATGTAAAATGAAACCCACAAATCTCAGAGATACATTTGCTGAGATCTGACAGTACATCTCCCTACGTAACCCAAACTCTCATCAAGACGTAGACCGTAAAAAATAAAAAATAATAAAAAGAAAAAGATGTAGACCGTGACCATCACCCCATCTCACACCCCAGTCATTCCTCCCCATCCCCAGGTTTCTTCCACCTTAATTTAGTTGTGCTTGCTCTAGAATGTCATAGATATGGAATCATGTAGCCTTTCGCACCTGGCTTATTTCACTCAGCATAATTTAGTGATTTTGAGATTCATCCGCATGATTGCACACATCAGTAATTTGTTCTTTTTTGCGGCCGAGTGGTATTCTGCTAACTACTTTTGCAGGCCTATTTTTCCTTCCTGAGGTTTTTTGTTTTGTTTTGTTCTTGTTTGTTTTTAAATAATGGCTTTTTTGAGATATAATTCCCATGCCATATGATTGACCTACGTGAATTGTACATTTCAGTGGTTTTTAGGATACTCACAGAGTTGCACAACCATCACTACAATTGATTTTAGAAGATTTTCTTCATCACCCATACCCGTTAGCAGTCAAACCTCAGCCCCCTTACCCCCAGCCCCGCCCAGCCCCTGGCAACCACTAATCTACTTTCTGTCTCAATAGATTTGTCTCTTTTGGACATTTTGTGTGTGTGTGTGTGTGTGTGGCCACGTGCATGGCTTGTGGGATCTCAGTTTTCCGACCAGGGACTGAACCTCGGACCTTGGCAGTGAAAGTGCAGAGTCCCGACCACTGAACCACCAGGGAGCTCCCTGGACATTTCATAGAAATGGAACCATACAACAGCTGACTGAGTTCTTGTGTTGTCTGAGGTCAGCCCTTTCTGTATCTTACCTTCTGTTAACTCTCATACCAGCCTTAGTAGTGAGGTCCTACTTTTACCTCCAGTTTACAGATGAATTTGAGTTAATTTGAGAGAAGTCATCCCTCTTGCCCTGGGGACCATGAACTTGGTGCTCTTTCTGTGGCCCAGGTTACCCCAAAGAGCATTCTCCCACCCCCAGTCCTGTGGGCTTCCACCATGGGGTGGGGGGCTGCCCAGGTGCATGGCTGAACGAGATGCCCCACCTCTACCGCCCCCCAGGTCTACATGTTCCTGGTGAAATGGCAGGACCTGTCTGAGAAGGTGGTCTACCGGCGTTTCACTGAGATCTACGAATTCCATGTGAGTGCCCTGTGTTGGGGGTCCAGGGAGGGGATGCCACACCCAGTCCCAGCTCTGCCCTTTGGGGAGGGGAGCGGCCTAGGTGCTGACCAGGAGCTGAGGAACCCAGAGTCCCCCCGTCCCCTCCCAGCCCACAGATAAGGGGGCATTATTTTTTTTTAACTTTAAAAAGCACTAAAGCAATTTTTATTTTGGTGAAATATACATAACATACATTTACCACTTTACCCCTTTTAAGTGTACAAGCCAGTGGCATTAAGTACATTCACGGTGTCACACAGCCAACACCACCACCCATTTCTGAATACGTCTGTCTTCCCAAACCAAAACTCTGCACCCATTCCACAGGATCTCAAGGGGGCCGTCTCAAGGGCCCTGCTTGCTCTGTCCCTGCAGGGGACAGCCTGCCAGCGTCACCACCGCAGGTGTCATCCTAGGAGCTTGCTCTTTCACTCACCGTCGCTGGCCTGATGAGGACCCCTGGTGGATTAGAAGGAGGGCGGATAATCCTGACACCCAAGAAACCGGGTCCTCTTGCTTTGTGGGTGCCTGTTATCACCAAGGTTTACATGAGAGAATCCCCCAGGGTTCCCAACACCAGTGGCTGGTTGGACAAAATTGGGGGTGGTCATCGGGGGTCACAGTGCACACAGTGCTGGGTCCTGGTCTAAGACAGGGTCATATGGATGGAGGGGCCACAGAAGCCAGATGGGTTCCCCCAGGCCCCACTCCACACGCAGGGCCCTCCTTAACCAGGGAAGGGGCTTCAGGAAGCGTGCAGGTTCCTGCACTTCTCTTGTGTGAATTATTTAAAGTGAAATGCAAAGAAAACTGTAACCAGCCTTGTACACCCAGCACCTGGAGTCACAGCTGATATCACTGGGCCGTTTGCTATAAGGCGTTTTTTTTGTTTGTTTGTTTTAAAATTCATTTTATTTTTGGCTACGTTGGGCCTTCATTGCTTCGTGCAGGCTTTCTCTAGTTGTGGGAACGGGGTCTACTCTTCGTTGCGGTACGCAGGCTTCTCACTGTTGTGGCCCCGCCTGCTGTGGAGCACAGGGGCCCAGCCGCTCTGCTGCATGTGGGATCTTCCCGGACCAGGGCACGAACCCGTGTCCCTTGCATCGGCAGGCGGACTCTCTACCACTGCGCCACCAGGGAAGCCCACTAGGTTACATTTTTTGAGACTAGTCCATGCTGATGCTTTGTGGGGCTTCATCTCACCTCTTTAAACTGTTCTGGGTTATTCCATTGTAGGATTAGCTTCTTTTATTAATTGGTCGACTCATTCATTCATCCAACCACTATTTATTGAGCACCAACTAAGTACCAGGCACTTTCTACTTAGTGAGAAGGAAATGCTGCTGAAAGGCATAAAAGACAGATGCAAATCCTTGCCCACCCTAGTAGACCTTATGTTCTAGTGGAGGAGTCAGGATAACAGACAAACAAAAAAATAAGTAACTTATATAGTATGTTAGATGGTCCTTAGAATTACAGAGAAAAATAAAGCAGGGAGGGGAGGTGGGAAGGGTGGGACAAGGAAGGACAATTGTCAGGGAGGAGGCCTCACTGAAGTGGGAGATATCTCCTTGAAGAAGGAGAAAGAGAGAGAGAGAGAGTGACCTATGGATCTGTGTGGGGGAAGAATGGGAATCGCATGTGCAAAGGCCCTGGGGCAGGAGTGGGCCTGGAGCATTCAAGGGTGGCTGGAGCAGAGTGAACAACGGGAGAGTGGGGCAGGAGAGGTGAGCAAGGCAGGCAGAGGCAGGTCACATGGTGCCTTGTAGACCAATGCGGAGCCTTTGGCTTCCATTCTGAGTGAGCTGAGAGGCAGGGAGCGTTCTGAGCAGAGGAGGGACAGGATGCAACTTAGGTTTTCAGAGGATCCCTCTGGATGCTGGATTGAGGACAGACAAGGGAGGGGGAGGGGTGAGTGACCTAAGAAGGTTATAATAACCAGACCCGGTGGAAGCTCAGACCAGGGTGGTGGCAGCAAGTGTAGTGAGAAGAATCAGATTCTGAATAGATTTGGGGAGCAGAACCGAAAGAATTTGCTGATGGATTGGATGTGAGGTGGAAGAGAAAGAAGAATCCAGGATGCCACCAGGAGCTTCTAGCCTGAGCAATTGGAAGGGTATTTAGGTCATGTCCAATTTTGTGTTTTACAGTGCTGTAATAAAACAGATTCCTTCACATCTGCTTTTCTGTCTAGAAAATCTTAAAGGAGATGTTTCCTATCGAGGCAGGGGACATCAACCCAGAGAACAGGATCATCCCCCACCTGCCAGGTGAGGAGCAGGCCTGAGTCACCTGGGCAGGCTCACCTGTCCCAGCTCCCCTCACCTGCCCTCTGATTGCCCCCTCCACTCCCACCCTCTCCGGACTTGACGTTTCGAGTGTGCTCACTGGTCCTCTGGTGCCCCTCCCTGGTCCGCCCAGCCCCGCGGTGGTTTGATGGGCAGCGGGTGGCCGAGAGCCGCCAGGGCACCCTCACCGAGTACTGCAACTCGCTCATGAACCTGCCTGGCAAGATCTCCCGCTGCCCCCACCTCCTCAACTTCTTCAAGGTGCGCCCTGACGACCTCAAGCTCCCCACGGACAGCCAGTGAGTGGCGGGAGGAGGAAAGGTGGTGGTCAGACCCTTGCCTGGAGCGGGTGGGACTATCCCCATGTTACACAGGAGGAGCCTGAGGCTCAGAGAGGGGAAGTGACTTGCCCAAAGTCACACAGCAGGGAAAGCCAAGGAGGCAGGATTCCAACTCTGGACACCCCCAGCATCCCTGCCAAGTTTCTACCTGGACCCGACCCCTCTGAGCCTCAAGGTGCTGGGGGTCGGGGGGAGGCACTGTGGGCTGGGGGTCTAAGGTCCTAAGTCCTTGTCCTGACTCTGAGACTGCCTGGCCGTGGGACATGGAGCCTTCTGAAGGCAGCTTCCCCTTCTGTGACCGGGTGGTGAGGGCCAGATGCAGTAGTGGGTGCTGGGGAGAGTTGCTTACAAACTGTGAAGTGTGGAGCCCCCGAGAGGATGTGGGGGGCCGGTGGCCTCTGTTCCTTCCTGAGCCTGTCTCAGGCCCCTGCCTATCCTTTGTCACCTCATTCTCTGCCTGCCCTCGCCCCAGGGATCTCCTGTGCTCAGGGCCCTGCGTGGACAGCATCGGAGATGCTGATGAGATCTCGCGGGAATGTGCTGCGGAAGGTCCTTCTCTCTGTCCCCCTCTGGTACTGAGTGCTGGGGGAGGCCTGGAGGACAGGGCTGCCGTAGAGACAGCAGGGCTCCAGCCAGTGCTTCTGGACCCTTGATCACATCCCTGGTCCTGGGCAGGGCAGTTCCCATTGGCCCTGGGGTTGGGGGCGCCCACTCCTGTTGGCTTCCCTCTCGAGGCTCCAGCAGAAGGGAGCTGGCCCATGAGCCTTCTCCTTTGGGTCTGCAGGAGGCTGGGGCCCCTCCTCGGGCTGGCTGAGCAGAGCCTGTCCTCCTCAAAGCCCTGTCCTTCTAGTCCAGTTGCTACCTTCTCTCTGCAGCGGCCCCCATTTCCCACGTTCCTTCTGGGAACTTTCTTGGCAAGTTCTTCTGGAGGTCTGCCCGGAGCATGCTGTTCTCCAGGGGAAGCTGAGCGTCTGACCCAGACTGTCCTCTGATGCAGGGTGAAAAAGCCAGAGACATACCTGATGCCCAGAGATGGCAAGAGCAACGCTGCAGGTGAGAGGCCGGGGCCAGCCAAGTGAGGGTCACCCTAAGGGACTGCTGACACCATCAGGGACCCTGAGCTCGGTGTGTGCAGGGAAAAGAGCAGGAGGTGAGAGCAGCTGTGAAGGGTCTTGGTGGCTGCACTGAAGTGTTGGGGTCTTTGAGGGTCACTGGTCAGTGAAGGGAGCTCACCTCCATGGCTGCAGCGCCCAGCACAGACCCTGGCTCCCAACAGCCTAGAGGATGTTCTGGCTGAATGAATGAACAGATTTAGGGGTGACTCAGGGGCATGACAGTATCTAGTCTTTATTGCACGATAATTGTTAATAACATTACCTAACATTTATCGAGCACGTACCCTGTGCCAGGCGCTATTTTAAATGTTTTCCATGTATTAACTCATGTAACCATCTCTATAATAGTATGAAATAGGTACAACTGCGCTATTATCCCCATTTTGCAACTGGACAACACTGAGGCTTGATTTAAGTTGAGATTCTTGACAAGGGACACACAGCTACTAAATGTGGAGCACGATTTCAGCCAGTCGGTGGGACACACAGTCAAGTACTCTGGGCTACTCAAAGTGTGGTCCAGTGACCAGCAGTGTCTTAGGTCAGGCTGCTATAACAAAGTGTCATAGAGTGGGTGGCTTAAATAGAAGAAATGAATTTTCTCATAGTTCTGGAGGCTGGAAGGCTGAGATCAAGTTGTGGGCAGGTTTGGGTTCAGCTGAGGCCTCTCTCCTTGGCTTGCAGACGGCTGCCTTGTTGCTTTGTCCTCACATGGCCTTTCCTCTGTGCATGCAACTCCCTGGTGTCTTTTCCTCTTCCTATAAGGACACCAGTCCTATTGGATCAGGGTCCCACCCTTATGACCTCATTTAACCTTAATCACCTCCTTGAAGGTTTTATCTCCAAATACACTCAGATTCTAAGGTACTGGGGGTTAGGGCTTCAACATATGAATTTGGGGGTGGGGGGACACAATTCAGCCCATAACAGGCAGCAGCAGTACTGCCTGGGGGCTGGTTAGACATGTAGCCTCTCAGGTCCCACCAGAGGCCTATGGAATCAGCACCTATGTTTCAGCAAGATCCCTGGGTGATTTGTGTGCACCTTGAAGTTGAGAAGGGCTGCTTGCTAACCACATCAAATGAGAAAGAGACCGTGTGTAAAGTGTGTGACCAGTGTCTGGAACACACTAGGTGCTCAATAAGTGCAGGGCTGCGAAGACTAGCTTGTCTTTGCTGCTTTCCAGTATACAGGGCGCGTCTACCCCTGGCCTGTCTGGAGCTGGGTGGGATGGGATGCCAGTGCCTGTTCAGGTGGCCTACACAGGGCCCACAGGGGAGAGCCAGGACGAGGCGCCCACAATGTCCACTCACCCTGCCCTCCCTCTACCCAGACATCACGGGCCCCATCATCCTGCAGACGTACCGCGCCATTGCTGACTATGAGAAGAGCTCAGGCTCCGAGATGGCTCTGGCCACAGGCGACGTGGTGGATGTCGTGGAGAAGAGCCAGAGTGGTCAGCCTCCCCGCCCTGCCTGGACCGCCCTCCCCTGGCGCCTGGGCCCATGGCTACAGGACCCCACCAAGGCTCTGTCCCCCAGGCAGCCCCAGGCCTCCTCCCCGCCTGGCCCACCGGGGGGCTCTGGCTCCTTCAGGGGCCCTGACTGTTCTCCCCACACTGTGGGTCACCCTCTCTCTGAGAGTGTGCCCCAGGGCAGCTCTGGGGATCTGCACACATTCTGGGCTGTGACTGTGCATCTCTGGGGGTTATATCCGGGTGGACGTGTGAACTTCTCACCATGTGTGTGATGTGGGTTCTGAGCTGTAGTTCTGTGACCCTGTGGGTACTGGTGTGTGTGATTTTGGTGTAGAGTGTGGTGAAGGTGACATTTCTGGATCTGAGTGTTGGACGCCTGTGTGTCTGTGTCTGAGTGCCCTCACCCACCCCTACCCCCCACCGATGGCTGAGGGAGGCTCCCAGGCCCGCCCAGACCTACCGCCCCGTATCCCTGGCACAGGCTGGTGGTTCTGCCAAATGAAGACAAAGCGCGGCTGGGTCCCGGCGTCCTACTTGGAGCCCCTGGACAGTCCAGATGAGGCAGAAGACCCAGAACCCAACTATGCAGGTGCCCCTCCCCTCCTCGGCCTCAGGGGTGGGAGAGAGGGGCAGGATTGAAGAACCAGAAGTGACTGCTTTGGGGTCAGACATGACTGTCGGCTGGGCAGGAGGGGAGGCAGGGCTGAGACCCTAGGTTGGGTCTAGGTGGGGTAGGAGGTGGTGCCCTTGGTCAGGACAGGGGGAACCAGGAGGTAGAATAGAGGTGAGGGGGATAAGGTCAGCCTGGGACACCGTGTGGCTGCCAGCCTGGGGCCGGGTCCAGTGGGAAGCTGCATGATGAGCCAAACTGAGGCTCAGGAAGGAGGGCTGCCTGGAGGTGGGGGCATTATGGCTGACTAGAATGGAAAAACTGGCAGCCCCTGGGCTGGATGGGTCCCACGTGGGGTTTGAAAAAATTTAGTATTGGTTGCCCGTATTTTGCAATAGAAAGATCTTACAATTTTATATGGATTTATGACTCCTCTTTAAAAATTGGGAAAGGCGTGTGTATTGGGCCTGCAGCCCCACATGCCAATAGTGGACTGGAGTTGAGTAGCTCAGGTGCCACTGGATGGGTGCTCTACCTCTGCACTTTCTGCCTAGCCACTCCTCGTGTGCAGGTGCCTGGCCAGGTCTCTGCAGTCATGGGTGCTCCTGGCCTCTGGTGTGGGTGATTGTGGGTAGGAGCGGGCGAGCTCCCCTGGGTAGAGTAGGCAGAGGGCACAAGTCCAGAGTGTCTCCACGAGGAGGGGGGAGGGCTGGAGGAGAGAGGTCCTGGGCTCCAGCTGGAGGAAGCCCCAGGCCCAGAGAGGAGGGGCGGGGTGGTGAGCCCCGTGCTGGGGGGGGCTTCACACTCTGCCCCTCCCCTCTCCAGGTGAGCCCTACATCACCATCAAAGCCTACACTGCCCTATTGGAGGATGAGATATCTTTGGAGCAGGGCGAAACCATCGAGGTCATTCATAAGCTCCTGGATGGCTGGTGGGTCATCAGGTAGGAGAGCTGTGCCCTCCCTCCCACTGCACCTGCCCTGAGAGTTAGCCTGGCCTGGGGTTGGGCCTGCGTGGGCTCAGTGCCAACTTGACTGTGTGACTCTGGGAAGGCCACTGCCTCTCTCTGGGCTGTTTCCATTTTGGAAGCAGACTCGTGATAATCCCAGCCTGCCCGTGTCTCAGGGTTCAGTAGTCCTTGTCTGAGTGGGAACACCTTTCCTTTGTGACTTGGGGTCACATCCCCTGACCAGTCCATCTATTCATTCTCCAGCAACACAATTAATTGTATTAGTTATTATATTTGATAGCTGCTAGAGCAGACCCTGTCATCCCTTTTCCTTTTAAAATCCTTCATTGCAATTTCCATCTGTTTATTCCTCCAAGTGAACGTAGGAATACTAACTTGTTTTTCTGGTTCTGGGGAAAGCAGAATCCCAGGGTCTTGCACACGATTTCAGAGCCCTGAGTCACAGGGCCCATCCGTGACCCCAGTGAGCTTGTGGCCACAACACCCCCCCATCAGCGTGGCCCTTGGCTGGGGACTTTGAGGCAGGATTTCTCAACCTTTTATTTTTTTAATTTTATTGGCATATAGTTGCTTTACAGTGTTGTGTTCGTTTCTGCTGTACAGCAAAGTGAATTAGTTTTTTGACCCAAACTCAGTTAACCCCCATTATGCACCCCTGAGACAATGTTTGTGAGTCTCCCACCAGCCAAGAAGCATCAGAGTTTTACAGAGTGAGGTTTGTATTATGCAAAGGCTGTTGTTTTTTTTTTACTACCAAATGTAGTAGTGAGAATGGAAAGAAAAATCTTCTCAACAAATGGTGCTGGAACAACTGGATATCCCTATGGGGGGGAAAAAAAATGAACCTAGATCCCTGCCTCACACCATACACCTTTATTTGGAACATTTCACAGATTTTACCAAGCACAAAACCCAAAACTAAAAAGCTTTTGGAAGGAAGCATAAGGGAACTTGGTGACCTGGAGGTACGCAGAAGTTTCTTAGGACACAGAAGGCAATCACCATAAAAGAGAAAACTGACAAATACAATATTGCAGATGTTTTTGTAGCAAACACCTGTCCCTGGGGAGATGGATCTGCTAACTTCCTCCCCCTCTCAGTGTCACAACTGGGAAGGCCTGTGTGGCATTGATGAGGAAACTGAGGCACACAGGTGCAGGGTCTGGTGTTGGCTGCCGTGTTTGCCACCTCCCAGCTGCCTTGACCCCATGTCTGAGGCCCCGCCCCTGCAGCTGCTCAGGCCTCAAGGGCTGCCTCTGTTGCAGAAAAGAAGATGTCACAGGTTACTTCCCATCCATGTACCTGCAACAGGCAGGGCAGGACACAGACCAGGCCCAAAGCCGGATCAAGAGGGGAGCGCCGCCCCGCAGGTGAGCAAGAGCCCCCGGGGCAGGGGGGGTGGGCTGGGCGGGGCTGAGGAGGGTATACCACGGCTTCCGTCTGTCTGTCCAGGCCCTGGATAGGCAGTGCTGGGGCAGGGGAGATGGTGCAGGGGCGCTCAGCCTGGCGGGGTAGGCAGCACCCTCACTGGATGGAGGCCCCCTCCCACACTCTGGGGCTGGCACGGGGGCGGTGGGAAAGCAGAGGTGTGAGATGGTGTGGAGATGGCGGCTCCGATGCCTAGAGTCCTCGGGATGGCCCGTGAGGGCTGCGGCAGTTCGGAGGGCTTTCCTGGGGAGGGGGTAGGCTGGAGGCTGGTGAGGGGTGTGGGAAATGGGCCTGGGCTCTGAGTCAGGGCAGGGGTCCGCGTCGGTGAGGGACAGTCGCCTTCATGCCCCGCCCAGGCTGTGCTGGACCCCCCCACCCCGCCTCCTTCCCACTCTCAACCTCCCCGGGCTAGTCTTTGGACTCCAGGGGTGGCCATGAGAGTCCCCTCGGGCAGGGACGCGGGAAGGGCAGGGACGTGGGGCGCTGACCAAAGCCCCTGTCCTGCTGTGCCCAGGTCGTCCATCCGCAACGCGCACAGCATCCACCAACGGTCACGGAAGCGCCTCAGCCAGGACACCTATCGGCGCAACAGTGTTCGTTTTTTGCAGCAGCGCCCCCGCGGGGCGCGGCCGGGGCCCCGGAGCCCAGGGAGCGCACTGAGTGAGTGAGGGCGGGGGCCTGGGGGCAGGGCCTGAGTCTGGGGGCGGGCCCCGGGGCGGGCCGGAGGTGAGGAGGGATGTGGCCAGCATCTAGGGTGATGAGAGGCGGGGCCTTGAGGGGTGGGGCCTGAAAAGAGAAGAGAGGCGGGGCCGAGCAGGCGGGGCGGGCCTCAGCTGGCGCTGTCCTCCAGCAGAGGAGGAATCGCTCAAGACCGAGCGCCCCAAGCCGCAGCCGGCCGTGCCCCCGAGGCCCAGCGCAGACCTCATCCTGCACCGCTGCAGCGAGAGCACCAAGCGGAAGCTGGCCTCCGCCGTCTGAGGCCGCCCCCACATGACGCTCTTCCCACCTCCAGCCCCTATCCCTGTATATACATGTATAGAGCCTGAGGTTTGGCGGCAGACGGCAGCCCTTGGCCCCGCCCCACCTAGCTATCCGCCACCCTTAATAAATGTTGCTTGGAGTGGACTGATGGTTTGCAAAGTCTTGCTGCGGGCTGGGCAACACCCTTGGTATTTCTAGAAATAGGACTGAAGGCTGTGAGCTCTATTGGGGGAAGGTGCAAGAACTGAGGTCCGGTTGCATACTTTACTGGCCTTGCCCAAGACCAAGTTTGCACAAGGCCAAGTGCAAGAGGAAACCCCAGTCCCCTCTGACTGTTTGTCTGACAGACTGCCTACTTGAACTCTGGCCTCACTGCAGAAGAGTTCTGAAGAAGAGTAGACACAGTGCATAGTTGGGAGGGGAGGTGAGCCAGGGCCCTAGGTGACCTTGTGTGTGCACCCTGATTACCCAAAAAAATGTAATTTAGGTATAGGGAGACACACCTTAGATGTAAGGACATAACAAAGTGAAAGTGAAGGGATGGAAAAAGATACTTCATGCAAATGGAAACCGAAAGACAGCTGGAGTAGCTATACTTAGATAGAACAAAGACTGTAATAAGAGACATTGGCACTACATAACAGTAAAGGGGTCAATCAAATAAGAGGGTATAACATTCGCAAATATTTATGCACCCAACATAGGAGCACTAACATATAAAAAGCAAATATTTACAGACCTAAAGGGAGGAATAGACAGCAATACAATAATAGTAGGGGACTTTAATACCTCATTTACATCAATGGATAGGTCATCCAGACAGAAAATCAATAAGGATTTTCCAAGATAAATCATATGTTAGGCCATAAAACAAATTTAAGAGGACTGAAGTTATATCAAGCATATTTTTTCTAGCCACGACGGTATGAAACTAGAAATTAATTACATGAAGAAAAGTGGAAGACTCACAAACATGTGGAGATTAAACAAGTTATGAACAACCAGTGGGTCAAAGAAGAAATCAAAAAGAGAAACAACAACAAAATACCTTGAGAAAAATGAAAATGGAAATGTAACATACCAAAATTTATGAGATGTAGTAAAAACAGTTCTAAGAGGGAAGTTCATAGCAATAAATGCTTACCTCAGGAAACAAGAAAAGTCTCAAACAACCTAACTCAACACCCCAAGGAACTAGAAAAAGAAGAACTAATGAAGCCCAAAGTTGGTAGAAGGAAGGAAGGAACAAAAATTAGAGCAGAAATAAATGAAATAAAGACTGAAAAGAATAGAAAAGATCAGTGAAACTAAGAGCCGGTTCTTAGAAAAGATAAACAAAACTGACAAACTTTTAGCTGGACTCAGCAAGAAAAAAAGAGAGAGGACTCAAAATCAGAAATAAAAGAGGAGATGTTACAACTGATACCAAAGAAATACAAAGGATCATAAATGACTACTGTGGGGACTTCCCTGGTGGCGTAGTGGTTAAGAATCTGCCTGCCAATGCAGGGGACATGGGTTCGAGCCCTGGTCTGGGAAGATCCCACATGCCGCGGAGCAACTAAGCCCACGAGCCACAGCTACTGAGCCCACACGCTGCAACTACTGAAGCCTGCGCGACTAGAGCCCATGCCCTGCAACAGGAGAAACCACCGCAATGAGAAGCCTGTGTACTGTAACGAAGAGTAGCCCCCCCTCGCCGCAACTAGAGAAAGCACAGCAACGTGCAGCAACGAAGACCAAACACAGCCAAAATAAATATTTATTATTTTTTAAGTTTACTATTCTTGAAAAATCAAAATAAATAAATAAATAAATGACTACTGTGAACAATTATATGCCAAACTAGAAGAAATGGATAAATTGGACAACCAAGAAAAAAATGGATAAATTGCTAGAAACATACAACCTACAAAGACTGTGATGAAACAAAATCTGAATGGACCAATTATTAGCAAGGAGACTGAATCAGCAATAAAAAAGTCCCCCAAAACAAAAGTCCAGGACCAGATGACTTCACTGGTGAATTCTACCAAATATTCTTCTGAAATTCTTCTCAAACTCTTCCAAAAAATATGAGGGGAACTCTTTCATATTTTATGAGGCCAGCATTACCCTGATACCAAAACCAGACAAGGATGCCACAAAAAAAGAAATTGCAGGCCAGTATCCCTGATTACCATAGATGCAAAAATCTTCAAAAAAGTATTAGCAAACAGAATTCAACAATACCTTAAAAGGATAACACACCATGATCAAGTAGGATTTATTCCAGGCATGCAGTGATGGTTCAATGTTCACAAATCAGTCAATGATACACCACATTAACAAAACAAAGGATAAGAATCATATGATCATTTCAATAGATGCAGAAGAAGCATGTGACAAAATTCAACACCCATTTAGAATGAAAACACTCAAAGCAGGTATAGAGGGAACATACCTCAACATAGTAAAGGCCACATATGACAAGCTCATAACTAACATCACACTCAATGGTGAAAAGCTAAAAGCTTTTCCTCTAAGACCAGGAACAAGACAAGGTTGCACACTCTCACCAATTTTATTCAACATAGTATTGGAAGTCTTAGCCAGAGCAATCAGGGAAAAAAAACAACAACGAAATGAAAGACATCCAAATTAGAAAGGAAGAAGTAAAACTGTCACTATTTGCAGATGACATGATATATGTAGAAAACCCTAAAGACTCCATTAAAAACTCTTAGTACTAATAAACAACTTTAGTAAAGTTGGAGGATACAAAATCAACACAAACATCTGCTGCATTCCTTTATGCTTATAATGAACTATCAGAGTGAGAAACTGTCAGAAGACAATCCCATTAACAATTGAATCAAAAAGAATAAAACACCTAGGAATAAATTTAACCAAGGAGGTGAAAGACCTGCATATTGAAAACTATGAGACATTAATGAAAGAAAGTGAAGAAGACTCAAAAAATAGAAAGATATTCTGTGCTCATGGATTGTAAAAATTAATTTTGTTAAAATATCCATACTACCCAAAGCAATATACAGATTCAATGCAATCCCTATCAAAATTGAATGGTATTTTTCACAGAAATTTCACAGAAATAGTACAAACAATCCTAAAATTTGTATGGAACCACAAAAGACCCCAAATGGCCAAAGCAATCCTGAGAAAAAAAGAACAAAGCTTGAGGCATCACACGCCCCAATTTCAAACTATGTTACAAAGCTATAGTAATTAAAACAGTATGGTATTGGCATTAAAACAGGTGCATAGATCAATGGAACAGAGTAGAGAACCCAGAAATAAACTCATGCATATATGGTCAATTAATTTACAACAAAGGAGCCAAGAATATGTAATGGGGACAGAACAGTCTTCAGTAAATACTGTCTGGGAAAATTGGACAGCCACATGCAAAGGAATGAAACCGGACCACTATCTTACACAATACACAAAAACTGATGACCAACTTAAGTGTAATACCTGAAAACATAAAGCTCCTAGAAGAAAACATAGACAGTAAACTACTGGTATAGGTCTTGGCGATGAGTTTTTGAATCTGCACCAAAAGCAAAAGCAACAAATGCAAAAATAAACAAGTGGGACTACATCAAACTAAAGGCTCCTGCACAGCAAAATAAACAATAAACAAAATGAAGAGGCAGCCTATAGAATGAGAGAAAATAACTGCAAATCATATATTTGATAAGGGGTTAATATCCAAAATACATGAAGAACTCATATAACTCAATATCAAAAACAAACAATCCAATTAAAAAATGGACAGAAGATCTGAATAGACATTTCTCCAAGGAAGACATACAGATGGCCAACAGGTACATGAAAAGACGCCGAACATCATTCATTCAGGGAAATACAAATAAAAACCACAATGACACAGCACCTCATACCTGTTAGAATGGCTATTATCAAAAAGACAAAAAAATAACAAGTGTTGGCAAGGATGTGGAGAAAAGGGAAGACTTGTGCACCGTTAGTGGGAATGTAAATTGGCTCAGCCACTATGGAAAACAGTATGAAGTTTCCTCAAAAAAATTAAAAATAGAACTATCATATGATCCAGTTATTCCATTAGAATCTGGGTATTATGAGAATAAAATGAAAACACTAAAGATAACTGCACCTTGATGTTCATTGCAGCATCATTTACGATAGCCAAGATATGGAAACAACTTAAGCGACCATCAATGGATGACCAGATAAAGAAATTGTGGCATAAATACACAATGGAATATTATTCAACCATAAAAAATAATAAAATCTTGCCACTTGCAACAAAATGGATGAACTTTGAGGGCATTATGCTAAGTGAAATAAGTCAGACAGAGAAAGGCAAATACTGTATTATCTCTCTTATATGTGGAGTCTAAAAGACAAAGAAAGAAACAAAAAACAACCAAGCTCTTGGATACATTAAACAGATTGGTGGTTGCAATAAGTGGAGGGTGGGTGGGGGTGGAAGAAATGGGTGAATTGTTATTTACTTATTTCTTTATTTTAGTTTATATAAATTGAATAAACATTTTTTTTAACTGGCAAATATAAACAGGAGAGTATAATTGATCTCTCATTCCAGATTCAGTTGAAAATAGCCATCTTGGGGCCATTGCTAAGGCACAGAAAGGGCACAGAAATTTAGACGTCTACCCAGTTTTCACTCCCTGAGACATAGTGGGGGTCTTGGCTAATAGAGCTGTGAATATTCAGTGAAGGACAATAGTTTATCACACACACAAAGAATTATAATTTAGCTATAGGGAGGGGCGCCTCTGATTATTCACTGAGAGCCTGCCCAGTTAGGAAGTTGTACCAGAAAGCGATTATTCACCACCCACCCCAGCACTGCTGCTAGCCCATGGCCTCCAAGTCTTTGCTGGTGGGTCTGTCCCCAAATGCAAAGATACCATGATGCAAACAGGAGCTGCAAATCTCATAAAAGATGCAGCTTGTCTCGAAGGCCATGGGTAGCATGGAGAGCTTCTCTTCCTGTGTGGGAAGCAGCATATGAGGCTGGACAAATCTGGTCACTTAGAGATAAGAGGAAATGGGTTTCTCCCAGTCTTGGCTCAGTCATACGAGTGACCATGCTGGTCAAGCCACTTGGCCCAGCACACACTACAGGTAGAGAA